CCAAGGGAAGAGAATAATTTATCTTTAGTTTCAGCCTGAGAAGTCTGATTGCTGCTCGCCCCTGCTCTAATTCCTGCAGGGAGTGACACCTCCTTCATCCCATATCAAGAGGGGCTTCTTTTTTCTCTTGGCAAGGGTAGCAAAATGATAAAATATGGAAATGTATCCTTTTCAGTATAAATAATTTTAACCTGCTCCCTAATTTTAAACAATATATTCCCTCTGCCTCCTTAAAATAATACTGTAGAAGATTTAGCATTTTCTTGATGATTAGGTTATGGGCTGTCTGGTCTCATTGACTTTATTTTGGCTCAGGTTATTTTTCTTTTCTTTCTTTTATTGAATGTATTGGGGTGACATTGGTCAACAAAATCATACCGGTTTCAGGTGCACAGTTCTACGGCGCATCATCTGTGCACTGTATTGCGTGCTCACCGCCCCAAGCCAAGCGTCCGTCCATCACCATTTACCCCCTTTCCCCTCTTCTACCTCCCCCACTCCCGTGCCCCCCTCACAGTCACCACACTGTTGTCCACGTCCATGAGTTTTCTCTCTTGTGTTTTCCTTTTTTCCTCAACCCCTCACCCCTCTCACCCCCTGACCCCACCCTAGCTGTCAGCCTGCTCTCTATCTATGAGTCTGGCACTATTTTTCTTGTTAGTTCATTTTGTTCATTAGGTTCCACATGTGAGTGAAATCACATGATACTTGTCTTTCTCTGGCTTATAAATTTTATTTTTAATTACAGCTTACATTTAATATTGTATTAGGTTCAGGTGTACAGCATAGTGGTTAGACAATCATGTCCTTGGCAAAGCGAAGTACCCAGCTGGTACCGTGCGGAGCTATTACAGTGTTTGACTGTGTTCCCTGTGCCGTACTTTACATCCTCGTGACTATTTTGTAACTTCCAATTTGTACTTTTCAATCTCTTCACCTTTTTCACCCAGTCCTGCAACCATCAGTCTGTTCTCTGTGTCTTTTAGATTTCACATGTAAGTGAAATCATATGGTATTTGTCTTTCTCTGTCTCACTTAGCATAATACCCTCTAGGTCCATTCATGCTGTCTCAGATGGTAAGATTTCATTCTTTTTTATGGCTGTGTAATATTCCATTATGTGTACATAACACAATTTTTTATCCACTTGTCTATTGATGGGCACTTGAGTTGCTTCATACTGTGGCTATTGTAAATAATGCTGCAATGAACAAAGGAGGACATATATTTTTTTGAATTAATATTTAGGGTTTTTTTAAATATATACCCAGAAGTGGAATCAGTGGGCCATAAGGCAGTTCCATTTTTAATTTTTTGAGGAAACTCCATACTGTTTTCTACAGCAGCTGCACCAATCTGCATTCCCACCAGCAGTGCACCGAGGGTTCCCTTTTCGCCACAACCTCGCCAGCACTTGTTGATTTATTGATGACAGCCACTCTGACAAGTGTGAAGTGTATTTCATTGTGGTTTTAATTTGTGTTTCTCCGATTCTTGTTGACGTTAGAGTTTTCTATTTGAGCAATTGTTGCTCTTCCTTCACAATCTTAGAGGAGTTCTATTCCCTAGTTTTATTCTCTTGTTTTTAGAACTAATGACAGAAGCCCAGTATGTCAAATACTAGCCACTAGCCACCTGTGCTTTTTGAGCACTAGAAATATGGTCAGTGTGACTGAGAAACTGAATTTTTAGTCTTAATTTTAACTAGTATAAGTCTAAATTGTAAAAATGAACTAGTATAAGATATTTTTTCATTAAACATAAATAATTCATTTTGACTCTAGAAAACATAGCTAAATTGATGTCCTCCTAAGTGTAAAATACACACTGGGTTTTGAAAATTTCGTGTGGGGAAAAATGTCTCAATATTTTTATATTGATTACATGTTGATGTGCTATTATTTTGGATATGTTGGATTAGCCCTAGCTGGTTTGGCTCAGGGATTAGAGAGTGTTGGCCCGTGGACTAAAGGGCCCCAGGTTCGATTCTGGCCAAGGGAATGTACCTCAATTACAGGCTCGATCCCTGGCCCCAGTTGGAGTGCCCCAGAGGCAACCAGTGGATGAGTCTCTCTCCTCCCCCCCCCACTCTCTCTGAAAAGCAATGGGAAAAATATCCTCAGGTGAGAATTAAAAAAAACAAAAATTACTAAGATTTATCTTGTTCCTTTTTAGTTTTTTTTAAATGTAGCCACTGAAAATTTTAAGATTATCTGTGAAGCTCTCATTGTCTTCCCATGACAGGTTTCTCAACTTCGGCACCATCAACATTTGGGCTGGGTAATTCTTTGTGTGGGTCCTGTCTGTCTTGTTCTCTGTAGGGTGTTAGCAAGATCCCTGGCCCCTGCTGATCTGATCTGGACTCTCTTCCCCCTAGTGCAGGAATGCCTTTCTGGGTTGTGACTGAAAGAGCTCCAGCCCCTGTTTGAAACTCTTCATAAAAATTTCTCATCTCCCATTTTTGGAATTAATACTAGAACAGGTCTTTATGTTAAGTGTCCTGTAGCTTCCATCGGTGATCCTAGTCCTGATCTCTTGACTAGCACAGAACAAAGCAAATTCTTTATGAAGGAGATTGTGTATGTTTAAGGGCCTTATAAATTCCAAAGTCCATTCAACAAATACTTAAACTCCTCCTTTGTGTTAGGCATTGTCCTACGCAGCAGGGATACAGCAGTACATGAAACATGAGTTCCCTGGGGCTTGCATACCATTTTGGAGAGCATCCTTAGCAGAAACTCAAGACCCTACAGCATGTCGCATGTTAATCAGTGCTGCGGAGAACACAGCAGGCAGACTCATAGGGAATGCTGCTGCTGCTCCTGGGGTCTTGGGGGTGCTGTTTTTCCTAATACCCCTCGCCCCATCCTCTAATACCCCAAGACCTCTCTCATGCCCACTGTTCCCCAGACCGTTTGTTTCTTTAGTTTTTTCTAGACCGCACATTTCCTTCAGCCATTGCTTGAGTTGTTTTCCAGACGTCTTTGCCTAGCCTCTGGTAAGTCCCCCTAAGTGGGGATGCTGAGGTTTCTCTTTAGAGTGGCATGTGGGCCTGAATCCTGTCTCTCCTCTGACCACTGCAGAGTTGCCCTTGGGAATGTTCTGGCTGCTCTTCTTTTGGCAGCCTGAGCTTGCACCTGCGTTTTTGGCAGCCTCATCAGGCTATTGACTTAGGTTGCGGTCAACAACTCTGAGGTCACTTACTGTACTTCGACTTCTGCATTGTGTATTTGTCCCCTGGGCTGGCACTTCTCTTGCTGCTTTGGATCAGTTTATTGCACGCGAGCATTTGAGCTTGCCTCTGTGTGTCCTGCACAGGAAAACAGCGTGGGCTTTGTGCTTTCCCTTTCAAGATCCCTTTCACCTCTGCTTTCTGGTTGTGTTTTAGAATAGATAACTAATGTTGCAGATAATCTGACCTCCTCACAAATGAGTAATTACTACATTTTCATAAATCATCAGAGTTATGTGCGTAAAAATGAGTATAGGGTATTCTTGGCCTGACAATCTTGTGATGATTTCTAAATTGAGAATAAAAATAAAGCTTGGATGTCTCTTCTGCTTTCTTGCTTCCATAATACTTCTTGCTTTTCTTTCCCTTCTGCTGTTTTTGCCTTTAATCAGAAGAGTAACATATACGTTTAATGTAAGCATTTGTTGGGGGGAACTACAGCCCCTCCGTCAATCTTCACAAAGCTTATTCGGGCTCGCAAGTTCCTAGGTCTGTGTTACATTTCTGACTGACTTCCATAGATAGGAGATGGAAAATTTAGTTTATATACCTCTCTCAAACTACATTACACATGCAAATGGTAGATAATGGCCGGGATTCTATCCCTAGGTGCCGTTGCTCATGTCACAGAGATTGATGGCCTTGGATTGGGGGAAATGTGGTTTAAATACCATCTGCGGCCACTTATCTAGCAGATTGCTTAGATGACAAATCTGCCAAATGAGCAGTGTGTGTTCCTAAAAAAGAAAAAGCAATCAGAAGAATTTTACCATGGAGGCTTTTAACAGTATTACTTATTTAAAACCTTAAAATTTTATTAACTTCTATGACTCAAATTCATTCAGTTTATAGACGTTCTTTAGAAGATAATTTTTTTTTCATATTTTCTGTAATATTTTAGTTATGTGGGTGGATTTCAAATGGCAGCTGGAACCAGCATCCCTTGCCATAACCTAAGGTAACAGAAAATAATGCATTATTATAATGGAGTTTTAGAAAGTTGGTCTGGGCGCCTTTCACGGCTCCCCCTGGTTGTGCGGCTGTTGCAGCCTGTGGAAGGTGGTTGGCTCCCTGCCGGCCATCCCGGCCTTGGGATGCCTGAGCTCAGACTTGCAGCTCATTCAAGCCAGAGACCCTCTGCCTCTGACTGCCACCATCCTGTCTACTCCCAGACTCCTGCGAAGCCTCTGGAAATTCTCCTTCTGTCCAGGTTAATTTGTAAGGGCTTTTCCGCTATATCTGGAGTTGTTAAATTTTGTTCAATGTCATTGTCTTTTGGAAAGTCTAATGAAAGCAATGCAGGGCCTATATTTTTACCTTGGTTTTTATAGTTCGTTTGCATTATCCTGCTTCATTTCTTAAAAAACATTAAACTAGGCTCAGTGATGGCATTTTGTTTACATTATTTGGCACCTGGAGTAAAATTATTTATCAGAATATGGTAGGTGTGTCTTGAACCAAAAAACAGGGTCAGATGTGTCAGCACATGAAAAGACAGCATCTCTCTGAGATGGTCCAAACAGCTGGACTCCAACCGGGGAGACTCCAGGTCATAACCGTACGAAAAACATAGGGTCCATGGATCTGCTGTGAAACTTCTCGGGTCAGAGTAGCAGTGAATGGGGTACAACCCCAGATTGACCCTCTTTTACTCTAAGAGGCACATTTTTAAGGTACATGCATGTATGCCTATGGCTTTCATATTAATAACATTTCCTTCCCAATGTCAATGGCATTAAAGTTGAATCTTTCGCTTTTCTTTTTTTAGAACAAGCCTGCCGTCTCCTATGTTTTCCAGAAATGACTTCAGTATCTGGAGCATCCTCAGAAAATGTATTGGAATGGTAAATGAACTATTAATTTTATATATAGCATCAAACAAATATGTATTTCATTGTGTACCCGTTGGAAGGACATCTTAATGTTGTCATAAAAATGACGCCTGGCAATGCTTATGGAAAATTTTGAGAATCAGAAATTGGGAAAAGTCTTATATTGTTTTCCCGACAGAATTTATGCCAGTTAATGTGGCTTTAATGTGACTTTTCACTGTAAGAAAAGACAAAAAGGAAATGATCTTTTCCTATTGTCATTCCACATTTGTATTTCCCCACAGAATTACCCAGAAGTTCTCTGAGAGAGAACAGACTCCCCACAGGGTAGAATGTAATTTCGCATAGACTTCTGTGCACAGAGCACGTTTTTGCACTTTGAATTTGTAAGTGTGGTATATTAGTTATTTGCTTAGTTAGCTGTGCAGGTGGATCTGCTTTGGGGGGGAGGGTAGCAGGTGGCAAGATTTACTATTACATAAATCCTCGGATTCCCTTTAGAATAGTAGTCCACATTCAGCCAGTCAGGCCAGAATTCTGAGTCAGGTTCTCTTAATTCTTCTAGCATGACCTTTGACCAACTAGAATGATGACAATTTAAAAACATGCGAGTTTAAAGAATCTGCCTGCACGTTACCTTTGTAAATTTTGCAATTTAGTGAGCAACTTAGGATGCTCCAGGGCCTTCCTGCACTAAGAAGTATCCTTTCAACCCCGGTGATGTGCCCACTTTGTTATTTTTCTAATGTCCCTGTTCTCTGCTTGGGTAACGTCATTGAGACATCCTAAATGTAATTTACAAGAGCTGATCCCAGGAACATTCATTTTAAACAAATATTTTCTGATCATACTGTGTAGAGAGTAATCCAACTAGAGTCCACAGCTGGATGACTTGGCTACTTCTGTCTGACACCCAGCACAAGTTGCCATAGCTCCCTGAGTAGCATTTCCTCCTGGGTCAAATTAGGAGAAGAATTTGTACCCTAGAGGTGTATTGAGAAAGTAATAAAATAGTTTATGTAAAATGTCTGGAATAATCCCTGGTTTACCAGAACACTCAGTATTATTATCAAGAGTTAATCACACCTGAGAATTAGAAGATGTAGGGCTCTCACCCTCTTTCAGTTATATGCAGATTCATCAGGACAAACCAAATGTATATGTTCTTAAATAAGATGTTAATTATACATTTTAGTCTCTTTGGAACTGAAATTTCCAGGACAAAAATTAATACTTATTTTATATTCCTCAGTATTTTCAAAACATTAGTAAGTGTATTCACCATTGTGATCCAGGATCCAAACATGTTTGTGGGCTTAAATTAAAACCAGCTTCACAAAAAAATACTCATCATTATAATGGATGGTATTTTCTATTTTATTAAATTAATGGTGATTCCAATTGATTAAATTGATTTTATGACCTCCTAATGAATGAAACCCACAGTTTCTGTAGAATTGGTACCACATCTGTATGCGGATATTTGGTCATCAGAGTTTGTGTGAAAATTTCACGTGTGGTTTAGTCATTTTGACCATTGTCGAAAGTACTTGCTTGAGTCTGTCTCCTACCATCTGTTATTTCACTGAGTGTCAGAGTTAATGGAGGTGTCATGAGTTTGTTCAGACTAGTAACCAACAGTCTGTCTAGTTTATGTCTAACGCAAGCATCTGTCTAAATGGAGACTAACCATTCTTTTAACAGATGGGAAATTATGTTGGTTTGTACCTGTTATACTTTGACAGGTACTCTATTTTTCTGGAAGGATGGTTTTACTTTTATTTTTAGGTGCAGAACTATTTGTGCAAATAAACACTTATGCTGAGTCATAAAGTAAAGCTAATAAAAGCAAAGCTGTTTGTGTTGAAAGGGTACCACAAAATACTTTGAAACATATGTATAGAACTGACTGAGTAAAATCACAGAGAAAGAGCTGCAGGGCAAATAATATTTTTGGAAAGTATTCTCTGCTGAGGTTTTATAAAGAGACTAATGGTATAGAAGAATATTTATTAATGTGGATTGAAGGGAAATCAGCTAGCCTTCAGAAGTATTGCCCTTTGGGCTTTGTCTGTCATAGGATCCCTTTTTTTTAAAGTAATTTTTGATATAGACCACTCCAGTATCTGCCTTCTTTCATCCCTCCAAAAAAAAAAAAAAAGTCAAAACTTAGAAAATAATGGTACTCATAGTGTTTTTAAAAAAATATATTTTTAATTGATTACAGAAAGAGGGAGAGGGAGAAAGATAGAAACATCAATGATGAGAGCGAATCATCGACCCCCTGCTTCCTGCATGCCCCCTACTGGGGATCGAGCCCGCAACCCAGGCATGTGTCCCGATGGAACCGAACCATGACATGCTGGTTCCTAGGTCGATGCTCAACCCCTGAGCTGTGCCGGTTGGGCAGTACTCATAGTTTTAATTGCACTTCAATTCAAAGCGAAGGCATTTTTAAGAATCCTTTGTTGTACTTTCTGTTAGAGTTAACAATCCAAACACTTCACCTCAGGTTCTTTCTGTGTGGGTAAACCTTCATTACAAAGGTGACGTGCACCTTTCAGCTAGCTCTTTCCCTAGCTTCATATTCCTAGTTCCTTAATTTCATAATAAATCTTAACAAGAGTGGAGGGAAGTGGATGCTGAGCCATAGCTTTTCATGACCCCTCTGTGTACGTGAGGAGCGTGTCAGATCACAGTGGAGAGTGAGCGTCTTGCGGGTGAAAGCCTCACAATTCTACCTTGAGCTGGGATCCGGTCCCAGCATTTTCTAGAATTAGTGCCTCTCCTTTATGATGATCTAGTTTGATGGTGTAGTATCATTATTCAGAATACAGAGCCTTTGAGAACTCGTGACAGATGCTCACCTGCCAGGTACGGGTGAGGTACAGCTCCGTCTCACGGGAGGGGAGTCGGAGCGTCCTCTGCGGCACCCCCTCCAGGCCGGCTCCCGCGGCCCCCCTCCACTGCCACATACATGGGCGATTTGCTTTGCTTTTTCCCAAAAAGAATAGAGAGACCTAGATTTCCAAAACTAAGGACACCCTTCCTTTTTTTCTCCCAGCCTGTTTAGGGCAGGGATGTGTTACCAATTCTTGGATTATATTACATGAAATGAATGCTTTGCATAACTGGAATTCAATCCTAATCTATGATTGAAGCTTTTACCAAACAGATTCCCAGCTCGGAATTAATGCCGATACTGGTTAGTAGTTTGAAACCTTTGCTTCTTCCCTCCTCCCTCCCGCTGTCTTTTCCTGGAGGCTCTGATCTCACAGTCCCGCTGCCCTGTGCTTCCCCGGCTTTCTTCCTCATCGCCCCCATCCTGTTAGGGTTTCTCAGCAGGACTCACCGGAGGTTAGGTCATGTTGGAAACCAGGGCCGGCACCAGCGTGAGACAAAATTTGATTAATTTTTTTTCTTTGAAGGTCTTTTATTGATTACCTTATTATACTTTACTGTCACCATAGTGCTTGCACCCAGGGCCAAGCAAGTGCAGACCCTGTGCTTGCTAAATACCGTAGTGTCATTAACTCTAGTGTTGCATCATAAGTGCCATTATGGGAAATAAAAAGGTCTTATGCATTGTAAATATGACTTTTTAAAGTGAAATTGTTACCAGTTTTTTAAAGGTTTCCAGTAGAACCAAGTGCCATAGAAATTTGAATACAAGAGTAAACTGTTCTTTAAAAGTTGAAAAGTTTCAGTTCCATTTGCTCCTTTAACAGATACTTCCATTCGGTATTAGCTATAGAATATTATCCTAACTTAAATTTCTTTCTTCGAAGGTCTTTTATTGATTACCTTATTATACTTTACTATCACCATAGTACATATAAAAATTAAAAATTTTAAATATATACCCTGTGACCGTAAGACTTTAGTACTAAAAGTTTCTTTGCATCAAGCTATTTACAGATATTAGTATATGAGTGATCAAAATAACAAACATTACAAGATTTATGAAAATATTAAAAGGTAAAATATCATTTGCAAAATGGATTTTTTAAAATTGGGTTTAGTTATCTGAGAATGAATATCACCTATTGCTAAAACGAGATAGGATTTTCAGTAATAATAATGTTCTTATTTAATAGATTGAGGGATTAAAAAAACTTATATTAGTAGACAGATGGGAGTAGGAGTTCTGTGTTTTTGTCTAGAAGTATCATTCAGTTCTTTGACTCCCAACTATATGCCAAAAATCAATGATGTGTTATCAAAGATAATTTTTATGATCCATAAGCTGACAACTTAATTAGGACTCCCCTCAATGTTATTGAAAACAAAAATTTAGAAAACCCTAACTTGCAAAAGGTCTTGTTACCTTCTACTGGAGTAGCAGGCATCTCGGTCTCTAGGAAATGGACCAGGATGGTGCAAGGTATGTTTTTTTTTCTTTTTCTTTAAGTGGTAGATGGGCATTTGTAGAAGGAGAAATGGGGAAAGAGGAACAGCATATCTTCAGTGCAGGTGCATTCTTGGACCTGCCAGTTCTTAGATAAGGGCACATAGGAGGAGCATCTGGACGTCGATTGCCTTGAAGCATCTCTGCCCAGGAATCTGCTGGACAGTGTTTGTGGACCGTGAGTGAATACAGTGTGAAGACTGTGATCCGGTCCAAGCTTCCCGCCAGTGTTTCTGTCATCCTTCCACATTCCCAGCCAGCCGACGGCCAGGCTTTGGTTAAATGCCTCCAGCAAGAGGCTGGCACTACCTCCCAGGAGCTGAAAATACTCAGCTACTAGACAGGGCGAATAGGAAAGGAATATCTTTTCGTTTACCTTTTTCCTCATAGTTTTTCTTATCTTTCCTTCCCTGTTTTTGCCACTGGCTACACCAAGGTGCCCATAGTGTGGTTCATTTCACACACAAACACACACCCTTTTCCTGCTCCATAGTCCCTTCGTTTCTGGGTGTGTATCTTCCACTCATACCTTTGTTGAGTTCCCCCTGGGCTGCTCTGTGAGAGCTGAGGGACGGTGGTGTAACCAACAGCAGAAGGTGTGAGG